CACCTGGAGCACTTGTGAGCGCGGGGCGGACAGGGCCGGGGCACCAGATGAGTTCAGGGCGGGCCGGGCGCGGGATGGTGCCTTTGACCGAATTCCTATACCCAAGCTCCGGGGCGTCCCTGAAGTCTGCTCTTCCCCGGGGACAGACGTGAGGCCGGTGTGGGCCTGGCCTGCGCTGGTGTCAGACGCTTGAGACAGCGGAATTTAGCAGCCCAGGCCTGCGTCGTCGTGGAGGAGGACGTCTCGGTCGCTCTCGGGTCCCCAAGGCACACAGAACTAAGAGGGGAGGTTTGTTCGGCTCACAGTCGCAGTCGGTGGTTGACTGGCGCCAAGGCAGACAGGGCGCCGCGGAGAGGCCTGGGCGGAAGAGCTGCCCGTTCTGTGGCCGAGGAGCTGGGCACGAAACACGCCCTTCAGCCGGGCGACCCCTCGGCGGGCAGACCCACGGATGAGGGCGCCCTTCAGCCACGCTCCAGCCACCCTGGACCCCCGAGCGGGACCGCCCGGCCCGGAGGGGTCCCGGGCAACGCACCCGGAGCCACTGTGGTGTACCGGAGTGGATTCCCGCCCACCTCCCTGCCTGCTGGTGCCTCCTCTCCCGGGTTAAAATCACTGCTGGGACAGACCCTGGCGCCTCCGGTGATCCTAAATCCCAGATGTCTGCAGGCCTCGCCTTCTCTACGTGGGAGGGTGCTCACTGGCGTCCAGATCGTTCCCCCTAGCAGTTGCCCTTCCTGCTTTGAAGTGCACTGTGTTCCTCCAACATGGCTGACAGTTTTGCTTTGTGTTTGTTTTCCAGTTATGAGAAGCCTCCTCCTGGGCTGATCAAGGTTAGTGTGACGCCCGGACTCCCCGCTGTCCCGCGTGTGCCACAGACAGTAATGCTCTGAGAGATGGGTGCGCGGGCTGTGCGCCTGCTGTTCCGAGGCCCGCTTCTGCCCCACAGCCGCCCGGGAGGCCCTACCGGCTGGGCCGGCCTGGGTGCCCACCAGGTCAGCCTGCCGTGCTGCGCTCTGTCTGCTTCCTGTGTCTGCCGCCCGACTTCTCGGGCCGCTACACTGCGGTCAAGGGTCCCGGCCCAGAAAGTCACCTCTGAGGGGCCCTGGATACCATGGCAGCTTCTGGGCAACGACCCCCGCCTTTGCCATTTCAGGGGCTGCTGATGGGAGGGTCAACAGTCACAGGCAGAGCTAAAAAATCTGTCATCTGGTAGGTACCCTTCAGTTTAAAAACAATTCTAGCAGGGGATGTAGCTCAGTGATGCCCCACATGCCTCGTAAGCACGAGGTCCTGGGTTTGATCCCTGGTGCTGAAAAGAAAAATTCTAAAAATTTTTTAGTTTTATTTATTTATTTATTTATTTTGAGAGAGGATCTTGCTATGTAGTTCAGGTTGGCCTTGAATTTATTATATAGCAACAGTTGGCCTTGTTCACCGGGCAGTCCTTCTGCCTCAGCCTTCTGAGTGTGGAGATTACAGGTTTGTGCCACCATGCCCAGCTCTTCTAGTATAAACTTAATACTCTTAGGAATTTTTAAAATATCAGAGTGGGGAAACGTGTGAGAGGTAATGCAGTTACTCAGTGTAGACTCACTGCTACTGAAACATAACTCGCCACCCCTGTTGTTCCAGAAACCTGTGTGCTTTTCGCATCCCACAGATTTACAGGTCAGATTGTCGAGTCTTTTTTTTTCTTTTCTTTTAGTGGTAATGATTGAGCCCAAGACCTTCACACTGAACTACATCTGCAGTCTTTTTTTCACTTTTTTTTTTTTTTTTGGTTTTTTGAGGCAGGGTCTCACTATGTGGTTGAGACTGACCTAGGACTCACTATGTAGCCCAGGCTGGTCTCCAATTCACAGCGATCCTCCTACCTCAGCCTCCCAAGTTCTGGGATTACAGGCATGTGCCACCATGCCTGGCTCGAACTCTATTTTTGAGGCAAAGCTCTCACTGAGTTGCTAAGGTCCCCGAGCTGGCCTCAAACTTGCAGTCCTCCTGCCTCAGACTCCCAGGGTGCTGAGATGACATTTGTGTACCACCATGCCTGGCCCTTGGAGTCTAATTTTCATGAGAAAATGGAGCTCGCAGATCACTTCTGGGAGCACAGATGTGCTTCTCCAGTAACCCCTCCACCAGCAGCTGTGTTGCGATGTGGCCCTCTCCTGCCTCTCTTTTCCTGGGTTGAGTGAGGGTGAGTGCAGGAGGGAGCCAGGCGCCGGGCTGCTGACACACTCTCCCTCCATGCAGGAAGATGAGAGCAAGCCGGAAGACTGCATCCCAGATGTGCCGGGCAATGAGCATGCCCGGGAGTTCTTGGCTCATGCACCCACGAAAGGCCTCTGGATGCCGCTGGGGAAGGAGGTCAAAGTGATGCAGTGTGAGTACGACGGCGCCGCGTGCACACTGTGCACTTGTTTGCTGCTTTCCGTGGTCTCCTTGTCTATCACAGCCAAGGCCCGGTGTCTGTGACTAGAGGAGGAGGTGCTGTGCCCATCCAGGATCTGCCCTCGGACCCGGGCTGCCAAGGGACCCCTTCAGGGTGCCATGACGAAGGGCATATGCGTGGTGGGAATGCAGTGGCATGGCGTGCAGGGGCCAGGCTCAGGGACCTCTGTCAGAGGTGTGAGCAGTGCTTTCCTCCTGTCGCAAGGGCCTTCAGAAGCACAAACTTCTCACAGCGGAGCCTCTCCCCTGTCTAACGGGGACCCTGTGCACACATACGGTCCTGTGTAGCTGCCTTGGGCTGGTTCAGAGGTGCTTGGAGTGAACAGTGTCTGACAGGTGTCACAGGGTCCTGTGAGGCAGCCCTGGCACAGGCAGGCCATCCCAGCTGCTGCTAGTGGGACACTCACTTACTTATTCCGAGAAAGTGGGGGCGTACCAAACCGTGCCTGTCGTGGGTCCCAGCCTGACTGGGAGGGGGCTTTTCACCTGTGACTGTCTAAGAGAAGTGTCAGCAGGGCATATTCTGGTTCTGTGTGTGCTAATCTGTCTGTGGCAGGATTAAGCCTAATTCCAGAAATTAATTGTGAGAGTTTCAAAGACATAAGCACAGAGCCAGAAAGCTAAATTTGAAAAATAAGCTTTGAGCCAGGCCTGGTGGCATAAGCATTTGGGAGGCTAAGGCAGGAGGATCAGAAGTTCAAATCTTTTTTTTTTTTGAGATAGGGTCTCACTATGTAGTTGAGGCTGACCTGGAACTCACTATGTAGCCCAGGCTGGTCTCGAATTCGCAGTGATCCCCCTGCCTCAGCCTCCTGAGTGCTGGGATTACAGGCATGCGCCACCACACACGGCAGAAGTTCAAATCTTTTTTTTTTTTTTTTT